AGGAAGAGAAATCAGTACGAAATGCGAAGGAAAATAATCCACATTCCATCATAGTAATTCCAGTTCCATAACCGGATGTTGCTCATCCTCTGGTCACCACGCATAGACATGGGTTCGGTCATTAGGGGTGGTGCATGGTGAAGGAGTGACTGTGTCGTGTAGGTCATGGAGGACTGAATGATCTTAGAAATTTCTTTTGTGAACACCGGGTTTGTGGGGAGGTTGTTTAAGCGGATTCCGATCACTTCCGCTGTGGCCAGAAAGTGACTCCTAATTCCGTTAGATCGACGGACGGCTACTTAGTTAGAGCGATCGAAATATCTCGACCGCATAAACTGCGTGGTTTGACTCCACTAGGTGTGGAACGATCGAACTGCTGATGCTCCTAGTGATTCCATTACTATTCAGCCATGCCCGATGATGCTCGCGGACTCGTTTAGATTAACGTGTGCCTGTGTGGCCAATGTGTCTTACCCCACAGGGATAGAAAGAGACTGCAGAAGCAGGCAATTCAGCCTTGAATTCAAGGTGCATGAGTGACCCGGAGATGAGTGCAAACATTCGTTACTAGAAATGTTTTTTTCTTTTCCACAGATGTACTTGTTTGATGTTTCCATCTCGGCAGTTGTATCGCCTCTTAAATATAGTGATATAGAAACCGGTTTCTGCTCAGCGATAGTAATCTTATTTGACAACCGGTGACGCCCTAAAATGTTGTGCACGAACGGTTTTGGTTATCTGTTATAATCGACAAACCTCAGTTCTCCCTCTCAATGTTATTGCATATTCACGTTCTCCCCATCCTGGTAGTGAGGCTTTGAGTTGAAGTTCTTTTCCATTCTAGTGGCACAGCTTTTGAACTGGAGATACTGATTATACCACGATGGCTTCCTATAGATGGCACCCTCGGTAGTTCCGTCTGTTCGACGGCTTATTAGAACATCCGGAAATGGATCATTTCCTTCGTTCTCTAGAGGAAACTTTATGTTCAGATGTCCTAAGTTGGATACTTTCGAGAAGCTGAAAAAAACATGGCACTGTCACCGACTGAATACAAAACATCATCAAATTGTCTCTTGTTTGAAGCGAAACTGTCGTTTGTTCGTGTGAGGGTGTTTTCTCCAGTTTTGCCATGAAGACTGCTGCGGAAAGTAGATCAGCGGTGAACTCCGTCTGTTTGCCAATAACCTTGTCGTTGATTTTGAATTGTATGTTGTGTGTGATCGCTACGAGTTATGGTATAGTAGGGGGAGTTAAACACGCCAATTGGAGAAGTACTTCATCCTTGTCTATCCCTGGTAAGCCATAGAATCTTAGGATCGTCGTTCCAGTTCGTCGGATTTGTTCCAATGTGACATTGTCTATTAGATTCCATGGCAAACACCACACACGACACAGACAACCCCTCCATCCGCCCCTAGTCAGTGCGTATGTGTAGCGACCAGTGTGTAAACACCAGCCGGTCAAGAAGTTGGAATGTACGTTGTTTTTCTTCCCATTTTCTACTGATTTTTCTCCCGTCCCAAACATTTTGACCTAAATTCTGATCTATTATTCGGTAGGTGAATCACCACAAACGAGCTTTTTCGCTACTGCTTTTGTTTTCTCTCTGTCTCTCTCACAATGTACCACATTTTCACGACCGATGTGTGCATGAAAGAAGTTGTCTATCTCTTCCGCGTTCGTATGTGAAGCTCGGGTAATCCATCGCCGTCAAATGATCACTTGCAATCTTTATGGGCTTATGTGGGGTCAGTGTTTCAAGCGAAATCCATTCATTTTTTGTCTGACATTCAGATCAACGTTTTCGCATAATTGAAGCGATTTTTCTAAACGTCTCAATGGAAACTTTCATGAGGTAATCCTTACAAGGACTATTCTCAAAGACGAACTTGCTCGGCTGTCGGCGAAAAATGACCACAGTCATCCTAGTTTTTCTGACAATTGGATGCACTCATTAAGAATCTGGAAAAGCTCGATGGAGTTTCAAGCAAGAAGAAAACTGTGATTATTATCGGCGAGTTTCGCGCGGTCAGGCCGATCGTGTGTTCTGCGTGTTGCCTATTGTCGTTCGCTATAATTCTTTCATTGAATACACTCTTTTTGTGGCCGGGTGGGAAGGGTCACCAAATTATCGTCCCTTGGAAAGCATGTACCCGAATGCGACCGCTTGACCTGCCTCATTCTCTGTGTGTTGTACGAAAACCCTTGGGCTATTCCATCCTTTCTGAAAATTGCATAATGAATCCAAACAGCGTGTCAAGTAACCGATAAAAATAGCTTGAAGATAACGAAACCTGAGCAACAAACGTTTCTCCGAAGTACCCAACAGGTTCGTACGTTTCACATAAAAAGACCAGTAAGCCACCTCGTTTTCATAATCACGACAATATCCGGCTGAAGCTTTTTAGGGAGAGNTCAACGGGAACTAAACCTTAATATTGCTACACCTGGGTTCCTGTTTAGGACCACGCGAACAGTTCACAGAAATCACGAAGTTGACTATTGCCCCCATAATTCAGGTGGCACGTTGACGTGGAAAAAGCTGTTGTGGATGTTTGCTTTTGAAACTGCGAACGATTAACGCACATTGTCATCTGGTACTTGTGCTATCATGTCACCAATAACCGACAACCGGTTAACTGGTCACCCTGAAGGATTAATCACGGCACGTTCACGCTCGTTATTTACCGTTCCTCTGCATACTTTGTTTCGCATTTTGCGACCAAGTCCGGTTTCATTCATGCCATGCACCGATTTCTCCCATTTCAGGTTTACCTGGAACGACTGTTGACTAGTGCCGAGACGGAACTGACCCCGGCCACTTGGAAACGTATCGTGCTGTGTGCAATCCTATTAGCCAGTAAAGTATGGGATGATCAGGCAGTTTGGAATGTGGACTATTGCCAAATTTTGAAAGATTTGAACGTGAATGATGTGTAAGTGAACTATTGTTTCGTATTCCTGATCATCATGTTCCACTGTTTCGAACTGCACACACCGTTGATGATTGTAAGGTCCCAAGCGATTTACTGTTACCGAATCTGACACGACGAATTTAGCACGTTCCAGCTGATTAGTGCATTGGGACCTGAATTGTCAGCTGTATGATATTGTAAGCCCGTAGGCTGTAGAGCTGTCGGTTACCGCGTGCACGAATAGGCAGATGGCCATCGAAGCGGATGACTGTGAGTGGGTGAGTTTTGTTATACTGAACAGGTGATCGCAAACTGTCAAGGTTTTGTTTGTCCCTGGTTTCTACCTGGAAAAATAACCCCACGAATACCGATGTAAAGCATCATGAAGCGTAGAAACCTGGCCAACCACCAAGTAAGACCATTGTCCGCACCATTGTAAAGAACGAACCGCATCCATGAATACAAAACCTGATTGTTCCATACGCTCAGGATTCTCTGTTGATTATTCAGACAGCCCATTTCTTCTCAACAGGGAAAACATTTTACACATCTAAAATTTAAATAAACACTGTACCTTGGTTGCTGTCTTTTGACCTCCTTTGGGGTTCAGTACTAGCTACACCATTGCAGTCTTATCTCATTTTTTCTTCGGTGTTCCTTTGACTGAACTGCATCAGGATTAGGTAGGTGGAGTGCGTGCATAGCATGATCTCATGAAAGGTTTCTATCGTAATCATGACAAACTGAAAGACCAGTGATCTTAATTACAACGCTTTCAACCTTGAACTACTTCGGTTCAAATCCTCAGCAGAGGTGGGTTGATGCTTTTAGTCGTCAGTGTGTGTTCATATCTACACAACTGCAATGTGAAATTCACATTTCCAGTATGTTGTGCTGGCGATTTGAAGTCATTTCTAGGCGTAAATCAGTCCTTGCGGACCTTTGTGGGTGTCACTTAAATACCGCTTTGCATGTAAACAGATGCCTGTGGTGAAACGGCGTGAATTCGTCGTGTAAATAATATGTGAGTTGAAAAGCTGGGAAGCACTAGAAAGCGGTTTCCACCTGGCTGGTTCTCATCAGCAGTGCGAATCACAGGTAGAACGCAAGCATACTAACCACTCGATCACCGGTCAGCTAATGAAACCTTTTGTCATTTTGAGTATACACGATATAGCACAACCTATCTTTGCGAGCTTGTTGCGAGTATCGGTCCTCGCTCATCTTAGCACTAGCCTCCGAGTTTATGGCTCAGTTGGAACCTATTACAAAAATAGTTGGTTTACTAATTCAGTGAGTACAAGTTGGTTTCACGAAGGAGCTTGAAAATGTAGTGGATAGTATCCATCGCAAAACTAATCGATCTTTGTCTTGGGAGAGAGATGTGGCGTCCCTCGTTCCGCATTCATGGTTCACTGTACTAAAGCCCGGCTTTTGGGGATCTAATTATGGGTCTTTCCGGTGACCACCCGATGGACTTTGCCCACAGTGTAACTGCATTTCTCTTGGTTGTGCCAGAATTGGTCTATGTTTACTTTGGATGTACGACGGATTGTACAGACAATTTTTTCCATTTCTTGCTGACAATTTTTATCATCACTGTCAGACTAGGTCCCTCCGTTTTTTCTTTAGATTGTTTTGTTCAAGAATGTCCAACTGCTCGTTTCCTATAACCCAGCTATGAGACCGAGAATTCCCAATTCCCTGATCGCATTTACTCACGGTTTCGAATTTTCCATCAGCTGTTCCGGTTTTTGGTGTAACCAAAGACAAATGAATGTCGCGAACAGATTTTACAATCCAGAATCGGAATTTGTGCCCCTCCTTCAGGCTTGACTATTCGCCGGATCTCTTTTGGATTGCCTTTACATTCATGCGCCAAATTTTTCATTTGTCCTGTGGTTATATACAGCTCTGAGTACAGCACTCAATTTGTTCCTTAGGTTTTCTTTTCCCATTTTTATGCGATTGCGACCTGAATCTAATTCTGCAGCGATTGGAGAGTACCCTAACCGATATCCAATATGTTGTTGTTGAGTGGGAGATGAATGAAAAGGGTGTGATATACGGTATTACATCGTTGAAATCCTCTACCGGTCCGAACATGCGCAAAAGGCACACTTTCCGGACTAATCAGTTATGTTCCTCCATTCGCGATGCTTTTGCATCTTCAATGTCCAGAATGTTGTTACCGGACCGAGNGTTAACTACCCTCGCTTTGAAACTAGATAATTCGGAGTTGCTTGTAATTGATTATTCCCCGTATTTTGTGATGGTACCACAGACCGCACGCGCATCCAACGCTCGAACGGCATAACTTGAAGGTCGGTGCGACGTTTCTGTGCAGCAGAATGCTCGCGTACATTGTGTCATAGTACTCTCATTTCCATTTTGTAGTTGCAATGCCCTAAGTTCATATGAAAAGAATATAATCGATAATCGATGTGCNGTTTGGTCCAGCAGTCAGTAGCATCGAGGTAATCCGTCTTGTATTTGGGAATGCTCGAGTGAATGATTCCGTGTTAAACGGATCCGAAACGAGTATGGCGCCTGCTTACCAATTGTCTACCGTATCGCTCCTGGTTTGTAGTTGCCAGTTTACGCTGGAAAGAGCACGTGGTAGTCAGCAGATGTTGTAGAGACGAGATTGGGATCATTGGACCGATAGATTCCGTTAGGTACTGGTAATTTCCAGTGTTTCGTTCTGTGATCCAGCCGACTCTTTTTTATTACACGCTGGTGTGTGATTAACAGTACTCCGCGCGGACCCCGTAGTCATCAAGACCTACTGTCCAGAGATGGTAACCGCTAACCTAAGCCCCGGGACTTGGAGTGGCGAATCACATAAAGCCCCGATAAGTCAGACGTGGTATTGAACCTGAACGACAGCAAAGCTGCCTACCGCTAAAGTTGGGTGGCGGGACTTGAACCTTGATCCGCAGGGTCCAAAGAACACCGATGACAGCATGTAAACCACTGCGCCACCACCCCTGTGATTAGTTAGATACATTGAAGAACATGTCAACCAATCGCCGACCGAGGCGATTCTCACCAGACTAGAA